ATAATATTAATATCCAGTGTACAAGACTTTACAAAGAAAGTATTCATATCACATTATCATCCCAGGTAATTTGATACAATAATAATCATCGTTGACAGGCAACAAATCTGCCAAGTGTTGCTAGTCATGCATGAATTTAATGGATGCATTATCAGGCCAAAGGTCATAGTACATGTTTGGCATCAATTCAGGCTCACATTTATTGAATCATATACTAATTGTGTCAGGACCAAAAGTTTGTGACGATTTACAATCCAGACGCATGCACCAATCTGGAATAAATATATCGTAGATTCGTAGCACCATCCTTTTAGGTTTCCTACCATTATTGGCATTTTTTGAGTTCCAATTTATGTCCATTATAATATCGTAAAAAATAATTTTACACTAACACAAATTTATAAAATATTACACAAGGACTTGTCACGCTACAAAAGCATGAGTATGCATGCCTTTTACTTAATAAACACAAAATAAATACAAAACATAGAACTCTTCAGATAGTACCTGAACACTTCAGGTTCATATAAATTTATACTTTAAAAAGAAGTACACTCATTTAAATGTTAATAATTATTTTGAATAAATATTTGGCATTGATAATTTTAATGAATCTCATTACACACATGTTATATCTAGATTCCAAGGCTGGCGTTAGTTTTGGTGATGGACTAGTTCAGACTAGGTGGATAAGGCCCGGCTCAACTCACCGGGTTTATCTACGTGCCAGTCTGAACTAGGTGGTTTATCTCAAGCCGGGCTGTGTTCCTATAGTAACTAGGCCTGGCGTGCCACCGTGTTTGACTTTCCTAAGCCGGGCTTTAATCGTTGCGGGGGGGGGGGGGGGCTTGCATTGACTTCCGGGTAACAAGGGGGGGGGGGTGTCTTGCATTGACTTCTGGTTAAAAAAATGACCAATCAGCATTCAATTTACGTACGCTGTGAGTGTGCGTACGTTTCGAGACCAGTGTTTCCAAACTTGTTTCCTGGTTATGGTTCATTATGCTAATTCTTGCGCCTGGCTAATCCCGCTAGTCTGAACGCCCGGCAAAGTTAAGCCGGGCTTAACGTTGAACCTGGCTTAACTCAAGCCCGGCTTATCTCCAAGTCTGAACGTAGCCTATGTTGTCATCTGGCAGGTAAAGATGGCTGAAAGGGTGAATCCGGTGTAGGTGCATGATGGGTCATGTGTCATCTTAACACTTTGGCTGCCAGCGACAAATATACCACAGGGCGTTGTTGAGGACACCAGGGACGAGTATACTCGTCAAAATCGGAGTAACATTGCAAAAATGCGGACGAGATAACTCGCACTTGCATAGTCAATAAAACGTTCTATCACAGTGCCATCGACGTGTATACTCCCCCCCCCAATTTATTAGACACATCATTTTGATGATATATGACTAGATAGAATTTCAAAAAAGTATGTACATGGAAACTCGTTTTGGCACATGCGAAGGAACCTTAAAAAAAGGTCTGGCAGTCAACGTGTTAAGCACCTTATTACTGTACAAAAGTCATACAAAAATACAACACCACACATTTCCTGATACTGAATCCCATGTCGATACTTTATTAGTAAACATAATACAGTAAAGCTGTATACGGCATAGACACATGCTCCCTGCTGGGAGCCTATTTTTATGCATGCACATACATAGAATGTTTTCCCAATAAATTTGATATGTTTATGTTGTTTGTTGAATAGTTTGTTTTACAGTTTAAAATGACAAAGACTTTATGGTCGTGTTCATAAAGTAACTTATTGTTATTCTAACCAACACAACCAAACTCTTATGTGCTTTCACGAGCAAGGAATTAAATATGCATAATTGTCTTCTGTGATTGGTTGATTGCCAACTTTTCAATGCTTGGTGGATATAATGCTCTCTTCCAATTTTTTTTTTCCTTCGTGTGGATGGATATAATGCATATGACTAGTTCACATGGTGTATTACTTCTATAGGATGCAAAAATCTCAAATTACATATAATTTGTTTTTCCCAAAACACGGAAGTATACAAGATTGCTCTTTTTCTTTCTGGACCCCCTTCCTCCTGCAAATATCTGAGGCCAGCCCAGTATTCATAGCCTCAAGAAATGCTGCCTTCGTGAGTTAATTTAAGTGATTTATTCATATCTTGGCAATAGACTGCTTTGCTTCTACAGATACTATGTTTTTAGTTCACAATTTCTAAAATGTGAGATGTGATTTCCAAACAAATACAGATTTGTCAATGTTAGTGGCCATAAATTTGAAAATGAATATTGGTTTACTTAAGAGAGAGACAAAATTTTGAATTTGCAGAAGCTGGGTTAGGTTTGCAAGAGATTTTTGCTTGCTTGTCGGATTTCTTCTTCTTTCATTCTAGTACAGACGACCAGGGGGTGTATTTTCGTACTGTGGTGGTGTGCGAAGTAGGTGAAATTTTAGAATCCAAAACTCATTTTATTTTATTTATTATTATTATTATTATCTACAGTATTTTAATTTTTTTTAAATTTTAAAATTTTTAATTTTTTTAAATTTATTTTTTAAATTATTTATTAAAAAAAAAAAAAATATATTAAAACATCAACCTGTTTGCTAGACTCCTCTGGGAAGGGGCGCGACTCCCATTTCACCTTATAGTGGAGTACCCATTTCACTGCTCTGTTTTAGTTTCGGAGCTGCATGTTTTCCAGACTGCGTTTGTAAGTACTGAGTGATTCACTGTCGACAACATGCTGTGGAAGACTATTCCAGAGACGAATGCTGTCCGAGAAAAAGGATTTAAGGTAAATTTGAGTTCTTGCAAATGGTACCAGGATCTTGCAGGAATGACCACGTAAGTTTACACCTGATGGAATCAGGCACGTGCGGGATACATTGACGAGACCATTTACTATGCGATACATCATGTTAACTTTAGTCTGGGACCTCCTTTCTTGAAGTGGGGACCATTGAAGATTGTTTAGCATTGATGTTACGCTGCTTGTTCGACGATAATCACCACAGACGAATCGGGCATACCTTCTTTGTATCATCTCAAGTTTTTGGATGTTGCCTGTCGTTGGAGGGTCACATACTGCGCTGGCATACTCAACAATAGGTTGCACTAAGGTTTTGTAGCAAAGCTCCTTGATCTTCTTGGGGCACTGATACAGATTCCTTTGCAGAAATGCCTGAGTATAGTTCGCCTTGTTACATATTTTGGTGATGTGGATGTTCCAGTTAAGATTTTTCTGGGTATGAACACCAAGGTATTTAGCTGATTCCACATCCTCAAGAACTTGTCCATGTATTATATATGATTTTATGATGGGATTCTTTTTCTTGGTAATGTGGAGAATCTTACATTTTTGTGGGTGCGCCTCCATTAGATTTAAGCTCCCCATTGCTGGAATCTTTCCAAATCTTCCTGAAGTCTGTCAGAATCTTCAGATGTTATGATCTGCTTATATATGCAACAGTCATCAGCAAACAATTTGATGGTACAGTTTGCAGATATGTAGTTTGGCAGGTCATTTATGAACAGTAAAAAGAGCAGAGGTCCAATGACACTACATTGAGGAACACCAGACCTAACTGCTGTTGCATTAGACTTTTTACCATTTAGGATGACTCGTTGGGTGCGGTTGCTCAGGAAATCCTGAATCCAATTATGGATGTTGCCATTAATACTGGAGTCAGTGCCAATTAACTTCCAGGAAGCAGTGTCCTGTGACTGGGCTAGGGGTCCCAAATCTCCCGGAAGTCACAGGATATCAGGACAGCCTCCTGCACTCCCAAAATCAAGCAAGAACCTTCCGGAAATCCTGCAGATTCACAATATTTTCATGTTTTTACTACTTTATTAGTTAAGTCTCACGGTAGTCATGCCAATGGGTATCTTCATGCACAGCAAAATAAAATTAAATGTGTTATGGAAATTCATTTAACCAGATTTCACGGTAGGACTTTTTCCAACCCGGGAACTCTGCTGTGCTTAAGTTAAGCATACAGTACACCATCTGTTTAAAATGTTGGATTAGACCTCATCTGGTTTAACAAAAGAAAAAAAAACATGATTAAGTAAATAGTGTATAGAAATTAAAAAATGCTTTCCTGAACATCAAAAAGTCTGTTCAATGTTACCTTTAAAAAAAATTCTGACTTGCATAATTGTAGTGTGAGAGATTTTCCTTTATGTTTAGAACAAATCTTGGAATTGGCATTTTGAGGCTTGCCATTCCAAACCTGCATACTGTTGCTAAATGTTAAACTGAGAAATTGGCATAAGAATGTGTCAGTGTATACTTTAGTACCTAGAAGCCATAATACTTTTACTCATAACTCTGGCAATAGTAAGTCGATTCCAGTAAATGACCCATCACTTTAAAGCTTGTAATAAAATGTGTCAATTTTCTTGATTTGGTCTCGGATGCTGGTTTTGCCATGTCAACATATTTGAACTCGAGCCCTGGTATTTGAAGGCAAACATACTAACAACTAAAGCTACGATGCCACTCAAACACATAGCGTACAATACATCAATTACTGATAAATTACGATAACATAAAATGTATATGCAAAAGAACAAATTCCAGGAATTTCTCTTTTTAGGAAGATCTTGTCATTTCTAAATTATTGTTTTTTCAGCAATCGTATAAATGATTCCACCCCTTACCATTATTATGAATCAGACGGACTTCTTGAGTGTGATTACTATAAAGCATCTGAAGAACAGCTTCGCTACGGCCATCTTTTCGTGACAGAAAAAGCGGTATTTGGAAGGTGGGCTGTCAAACATAACATCGCATTTCACTATCCCGAGTGGAACCTAACACGTATCAACACCACCGCACCGTTGGAAACGCCATTCGTTAAAATGTACCGTGCAGCTAAATTGAACGAGACCCTGATGCAAAAGGCAAACAAAACTAAAGTTGAAATGAAGGAGTCGTCAAAGGGTTTGTTGCTTCGGAAAAATCGCATAAAGTTCAAAAAAACAAGCAGTAAATATGTTCAGTTTTCATCGGCTATGATGATGATAATGGCTGTGTTTTTTAGTATGGTAGCTTTCCTTCTTCTATTTTTATTCCTTAGTTTATTACTTCTGTGTTTTTATCTGTAGATTATTATTTTCATCAACATCAAAGTTGGACACATTAAAACAGTAAAAATAAAGAAGGTAAAACATAAAAACAATGTGTATAGCAAATGGAACTTAAAACAGTATGCAGGATTAAACCCAGGTCCCAGGTTGGAAAGGTAAGAACCACTAACTACTTGTGAGTCCTTATACAAGCTTATCATTTGAAGAGCAGTAGATTGGTATTTAAGATGCTACCTTTAACACACCCATGGTCTTGTGTATAATTCCTGTCAAAATATGTTTTCCTACTTTTTCAAACAGCTTCAACAATTCTTTTTTTTTTTATTGCTCAAATGGCATCTTAGCGAATATCAACTGAAACAAATCACAAAAACCATGAAACCTAATCATATATATTGACAATCATATATTCCAAGTGTCATTATGAGTTATAGTTTAGTAAGTATAACTCGCCACTGAGGAAGAATAGTACCGTTCGTTGATTCTGAACCCCAAGTTATGTAACATTGATGGGTGGCACAAGGGTTTTTTTGTTGTTAATACGCTGCTAAAGGCCCCACGGGTGATCCAGTGGCAGAGACCTAATGGCGACTTTTGAGGTATAAATTGACTTATTTTAAGTAGCTCTGGGTCTCTATTACTGCTCTACTGCTCTATTGATATAAAAAACATTCAAATTAATTCTTGGTAAGATAAACTCTATTGTCCATCTTAACACGTTGGAAATTCATGATCCATTAGGCATACAAAAACACATTAATTAAATTTCATCACAATTCGAATTGGGCAATTAATATGATGATAAATTTTGATCCATTTTTTAACATACAAAGGGTCCCTGGCACTGCCCCTGACATTTATTCAGTTAATTTTTCATTATTTATGTTACCATATAAAGTAAACAACAATATTGACATATACTGTAGTTTAAATAATATACAATATACTTTAAATATATCTAGACAGTTATAATCAAATACCTTAATATCTATATATGCACACTTTGTTAATACACAGTAACTAAATCAGAATTAATATTTTAATTGTTTGTGATGTCACATTATGTATTACCAAATTAATTGTACATGATCTTTTTTATTTTTCTTTATTTCAAATATAAAAGATGAAATATAAATATACATTGAAAATTATTATCTATATTGAGGCCTTATTTGGACATGGATATTACATGCCAATCATGTTAGTAAACAGTAATTATTATTGAATAAATATAGGTTTCTATCAATAATTAAACAATATTTAAATATCTATTGATCAATAATTAATAAACATTGTTTAAGTTTTTATAATATTGATAATCTGTCACAAAGGTATTTATCTGTGTGTTGATCAGTAATTGATAACCAATATATAAAGATATATTGATTATTAATTATATAGATTAATTTTAATTGATCTGAAAGCTCAGGAATTTTAGTTGGAAAGTGCAGATACTGTATTTATTTGAATAAATGAAAAGTGCAGATACCGTATTTATTTGAATAAAAGCCCCAGGGCATTTATTGTTGAAAAGGGTTTTTGAGGTTGAGGGAGGTGTTAATTTTTTTTTAGTTTATTCAAAGGGTAGGGGGAGGGGGTGGGGCTGTTATTCAAATAAATACGGTATATTCTAAAGTACAGTATTGTAAATAATTACTGAAGTGGTGCTATGAAATGAATGTCCAGGGTAATAGTTAATGTTTCATAGAAGAATATTTATTAACTGATGATTGATAAGTACTTACTTATACTCTCCTAGTCTCTTATTGTGAAAGTAATGAATATTCATTAAGTTTGCCCTTGGTCTTTATTTACATTTTTTGGGGCAAGATTTCCTGTTTTTCTAAAGTAAGGCTAAAATGAGCCTTCACTAACCTTCACTTTGTAGCATAAAGTAAACTTCATTGGTGTAATTTGAAGTACTAGTACTGAAAATAGTTTATATGTTTTAACCATTTGAATATGCATATAACATTGTCAATATATAATAGTAGAAGAGGTTGGCACATCGGTTGTGGCTTGGAATCCCAACCTTGAGGTCGGGGGTTCGAAACTCTAGCTGTGCAAGTCGCTTGTGTCCTTGGGCAAGGCACTTTATCTAAGGTTGTCTTTCTCCACCCAGGAGTACAAATGGGTACCTGGCAGGTTCAAACACAACCATGCGCTGATTACAGCTGCAACATTATGGGGCATGATTGTTGTGTTCCATGTGCTTGATCCACTGACCGGGGTAATAATTTAAAGCGCATAGAGGTTAGTCTACAATATGCGCTATATAAGTCGACAATTATTATTATATTAATATGCATATTGTGTTTTTATCCTTATGAATATGCATACTTTTTACTTTATAAATGTCTATTAATGGTTTTAACCTTATGAATAATCATTGTTTTTCCACTGTAGGACCTAAGATGATACGGTAGTTGCAACATTTAGAATTGTTTATTAGCGTACCCAAGTATTGCAATCCTTGTGAGATTGTGGCCATACTAATTAGCCCTTTCCGAGGAATGTATGGCAACTTTATTTTAAATGGCATTTTTATTGTTTAAATGTTAAGTTTATATTATTATGCATTGGTGCTAATTAAACTATTGTATAAAATGAATGAAAAAATCTTGACTACGGGCACTGCAAGCTACCTTTGCCTGCGTAGGCAGTTAATGAATGTAAAATACATTGCCTGTTGGCAAAGGGCAGGGGAAAACTGCACCGTTATTTGTACTATGGACGAGGGTGCTCATTTAACTAACTATCTCATAATATGCATATTTTTTTGGTTGGCCTTCAAAATTATTTTGTATTTGCATTGCCCATTGAGAATGGTGGTGGTGGTATAAGATATAAAACTGTGATAGAGAAGATTCATTCAGAAAGTCAATATAAAAAGACATTTCCAACATGACACCACACATATATCATTAAACTGAGCTTACACTGCCAAAGAATTACTTTGAAATGAACAAAATTACTATTATAAAAGCTCTCCAGAAGAACGTTATCTTAATACCGATCATATTAAAAACAGTATTGCTGTTACATTATATATCTTTATCTCAATCTGTATTATATTTATTTTACAATAACAATAACTTAAAAATTACAAAATGATACATCCATAATAATAATAGTAATATGTATAACTCATAATGCAGAAATCTCTGACGTGCTAGAAATTTGTAACGTTTATTATTGTTTAACCAAATGTTATGCGCCTTTTAAACAGTAATTAGGCCGACTTGTGGATCTGTGGTAGGGTGTGTGTGGGTGGGGGGTGTGTGTGTGTGTGTGTGTGTGTGTGTGAGTAATGATGCGTGTCTAATGGTAGCTAACATGCAGTCTTTATTACATTATGGTTATGTTATTCATTGTAATAATACATTATTTGTGTTTTTATAAGTAATTTCATCCAACCCTTTACTTGGTGTGGTCAATAGAAACTATATAAAACCCATCACTACAATACAGCTCCTCAGAGATCTTAGAAGAACCTGAATTTCAATTTTAATGTGACCCTCAATCAACACCCATTCCAGTTACCCCTGGTTGCATGTGACTCTATAGAAAACACTATTTCTTACCAAGGTTAGTGTGGCCCTTATAAGACTTCTCTATCCTAGGAGATCTAATATTACAATGTTAATATGGCCCTAGACTTATAACCATGAATTTCAAATACTACTCCTCGATCTATAGGACCTTGGCTGAGGAGTGCATGTGACCTTAGAAGACATACAGTAGTTATGGCAATCTAGAGGTATGCAGTTACTCCAAAATCGGAGTGTCTGCACCTGCCGCCAAAACTCTGATTTTGTGTACTATACAGTACGAGAAAACTCCAAAATGGAAGTTTTCAAACTTTTAATCGAACTCCCGATTTCAGAGTTTCTGCGTACTATTAATTAAACAAGCTCTCTCTATATATAGAGAGATCAAAACATTTAATCGACCCTCTGATTTCGGAGGTTTTGCGTACTATACGCAAAAACTCCAAAATCAGTGAATTTACAATGTTAATACGGTTCCATAGTACAGTACTTGAGAAGTCTGTATATGACAATTGTTATCATCAAATAATAATAATAATAATAGAAACATTATTATTATTATTATTATCATCAAATAATAATGTTTCTATTTCCCCAATCAAGTCTTCAAGCACTTCTAATCTAAGTACATGTTGGGAGTGCTATGATTATAAATTCAAACAATACTACAGCAATATGTTTGGTGATTTTAACTCAATATTTCTGTTTCAATAGGTTGTAATTGAATTCATTTTTTTACAAAACCAAGATTTCACTTAACTACACTTTATAATACCATTAACAAAAATTATTCTTCAACAATATGCTTTTTGTTTTAGTGTGCTTACCAAGTGATTATTTCTACAAATTTTATGGTGCTACCTTCTTCATTGTATTTTCCAATAAATTTATAATTTACAAGTAAAAATTTGCGATTGGTTAACCACACTTTATATAACCCCCTTCCCTTTGAATCCTCCACTTTGTTTAAATGAGCAAGTTGTTTTTTAAAGTTGTAATCTTAAATGGTTTTAATTATAGGTTTTAGGGTGTTGTAATTAAAGCAATAGATATAAAAGAAAGCAATGCATTAAACATGATCAAATTTTTTTCCATGTGGAATATAATGTAAACAGCTGGTAGGTCAAAAGCAAAGGCCTCAACCAGATCTAAAAAGTATAAATTCCAAATTCATAGCAGTTGAACATTTGAAGAAAGTCCAGTTTTGGAATAAAATGTTATAAAAATATTAGTGAAATATTATATACAGGTTGGTGAGACAAACATTCAATTAATTTTGCTTTTGACATGATATTAATGGATAAATAATATTATTTATTTATTTATTTATTTATTTATTCTCTTCAGCAATATTAAGTTGTAATACAAAGGTATGGAAAGGTATGGTATGTTTCTAATATTATTATAAATCTTAAATTTGCAGTATGTAGATATCAAATCAAATCAACATTTATTTCTTTCACATTATATAGCGATTAAAAAATAATTAATCTCGTCTGGGTCACTGCCAAATCAGGCATCTTTTGATTTGAAAGAGCAAAACACCTGGGGTCATGCAGTTTCATTGAAAGAGTATCTGCATGAATATCCACTGTAATATCTGTCGGAGCTCTACTATGACATGTCATGTATGGCTTGAATACAGTATAATTGATGAGAATTTGTAAATATTACTTTGCTCTTCAGTTTATTAGCCAGCCAGTTAAGTAATTAATCTTCCATGCTTTTTGAAGACTACTTTGGGCGAGACTTTTTTTGTACCTTGTTTCTCAAACTTATTTTTTTAAAGATCGTCGGGAGAGGGCAGAAAAAAATTAAAATAGATTTTTTTTTTCTTATTTAGCAAATTGTTTTGCCAAAAACATCCAGATAGAGGAGAAATTAAAATACAATTTTATTGGTGAATGTAAATAGTGTAGTAATGGGATGGTTATATGCTTTAAATTTATATACTGTAATTAGAAAGAGATATACTGTACTAATATTATTTCTGGATATTTGCAACAGTGTGCATAATAAAAATTAAAAACTTTAATATTTTTCTGAAATTTACATTTTCTCGTGCAGTGTGTGCGCTAATTGGCCAAAAATAAAATTGTATTTTTATTTGAAATAATCATTATTGGTGGAGGGTGGGTTCGCTATAACAAGGTATAAAGAAAGTCTTGACTTGCAGTATAAAATAATTTCTGTGAAATGTAATATAGAGGTATGTAAATAAATATTTGATAAAACCTGTTTTTCCTTATCATTAAACTTACAAACAAAAACAGTGTTTCCTAACTTGGGCCTTATAGGTCAGCTAATGGAGCTAGGGAATTGGAGGGATTGTAATAGGTAAACATTCATTTTAAACAATAATTTTTATGAATTGAAAGGAGTGATATATGAAAGCAGGGTATTTATTTTATATTAAGTAATAGATAATTGAAATATTCAAATTAAACAATTTTTTTTACTTGCCATCTTGTATATATTGTATTATATCAATGTTTTTAATAAATATATTAGGACAGGAGAGGGCTCACTTCAGGATATCCCAAGTGCAAACTAGAATATTGTTACAAATGCAGTTAGCTATTAGTTTCTGTCAGTATCTACATCTTTGTGACCAGCAAATTATTTCTTTTATCTGTTCCGACATGCTACCAATAATTTTGTCAAGATTGGTTCTTTATTTTACTACTTGCCATATGATTAATTTAAGACATGCATTTCATCCTTTGCTTGTTTGAATTAAACATTCTGAGCTCTCCGTTAATGTGATTGGTTGAATTGTAGTGTGCTGCTGTACTTAATACATCAGCTTGCGTAAATAAATTGCATTACAGTATTTTGGTAACCGTAATAAATATTACAGTATATTTCTATCTAGACTGATCTGTACTGCACAGTACTTCTTGTCAATTTCATGAACTCTCATTTTCTAGCAGCCTATTGTTTTGTGTGCTAATTAATAATATGCTGTTGTTAGCAAGATCACATTAAACATTATATAAACAAAGTGTTACTTGTCTGTAATTTGTTAATCTTGCACTGGCTTCAGTTTGCTGAATGCCAGTTTGCTGACTCAAAAACCATGAATCCCATTTTGCCGAAAACCCAGTTAGCCGAAAGTCAATCAAAAGCAGTGAAACATTAACAGCAAAAAATTAACGATGGAGCCTATTCTTACTGTGACTGCGTCTGTACGAAATGATGGCACCAGCGGAAAGTCAGGGCCGGCCAGAATTGCAACATTGACATGGGTGCAAATCGTGGGGAGAGGACGCATTCACCCACATGAACCGCTTAGTGGATTTGTAAAGGCATGAAGCGCTACATAAGAACGACATATTATTATTATACGTTTAAGGGGGGTTGGTCCCCTTGACTTGAGTACATGTGCTCTATAATTTGAGACGTATGAGAAAAAAAGCGTGTAAAGATAAGATTGGTTTTCAGCACATAAAACAAGTAAATACATCAAAGACAATTCTCTATGGTTGCCGAAAATCGCTGATAAAAGATCACGAGAAATTTGTTGGCGCTTCATTTTGACTATAAGGGTGATGTGATAATGATGAATTTTACTATACGAGTGTCCATTTCCGGTCATCTAGAGAGTACTATTTCCTCAAATTCTTATACCTCAGCCCCAACCACGGTGTCCCCTCCCACCTTTCAAAACAGATATGCGCCCTTGAATATTGAGAATTTAGAAGGCATTGCAGATAAAATGTCTTATAAACATATTAACGTTGAGATAATCTGTAGACCATAAAGGAAATAAATAAATTAATAATCTACAATTATAAACTAGTGCTGGGCCCAAAAAATTGGTGATAGGTTTTTTAGAGCTTTTGTATGGCCCAAATTGTGCTTTTAGACCACAATATTAGGGATTGGCAATCAAAATAACGTTATGTGGATATCCAAATTATGCCCAGAGCTCGTCAGGCAGTCGGACCAAAAAAAAATTTAAAAAAATAGGCATATGTCAAGCCAACAGATGGCTATTTTAAAATAAATCTCATTAACAAGAGGGGCATAAAGAGTGCTAAAGTTATCCTTATCTCATTCAGCCCCCTTGTCTGACAGCTTATTTTGCTTCAGACATTTTAAATGGGGGTCAACTGGGGGACACAAGCATTTTTTGTGAGGGGGTTACTCCCCGGGCACCACTAGTTGGGGGGTTTTCCTCCGATTTTTAACACTGGTATAAAATATACAAGTACACATTTTGCTTTGTCTTGCTTTATCTTAAAGGAAATTTATTTTTGCATCCATATTCATACATATTCAGTATATAAAAAGAAACAGCACATCATATACAAGAAAAATGGCTACACAATAGAAATCATTATGTAGTTCATAGCCAAAATATATAATTTATTATTATCTGAAAATTAGATGCCCAAAAATACTCAAAATTATTAACATTAATTACAGCTAAGGCCTCTGCAAACATGTTTGTGACAGCCATTTAGAGATAATAAACAATAAGAAGAGATTTAATCGTACAATATATTGCAAATGTGTTTATTTGCAGCATTTATTTGAAAATCTTTGCCCCAGCAGGCTTGCTTTTAAGCTGCTACCTGCAACATTGACAACACTCAGGCTTAAATCAGTGGTAAACTGCATATGCATAAGTTATATTTATAAATACCGCCCTCTGGAATATGAATACAAAATGTTTGTGAATAACCGGCATTTGCAGCCTTAATCTGTCCACATTGTTACTCAAGTGATATCTGTTCAGAGATTCTGTGCACATAATCTCACCACCAGATATTACTCTAATTAATAAACAGAAACAGAATAATTAAGTTTCTCAAATATGAGGCTTGCTATCCCGAGACCAGCATCAGTCACCAAAAATCTTTAATATCTTCTTATTCTCCTCATTGTAAGCTTTAAAGTGATGGGATCATATACTGGAATTGACTTACTATTGTGAGTCAAAATATTATGGCTTCTCCGTACTGAAGTATAATATTGCCACATTCTTATGCTAATTATTCAGTTTAAGAATTAGCGACAGTACGCTCAGTACGCTCGTTTTGGAATGGCAAGCCTCATGAACAGCAGCATATCCAAAATATGTTGGTCTTATATGGCACATTCACTTCCCATTACTACCCCCCCCCCCACCGGGCACTAGAACGAAAGCACATGAAAGGCATACTCATTTCCCTGACGGAATATTCAGCATTTGCGGCAGCAAGTAACCTGCTTTGGTATTAGAACCTACTATGTACCTATTCTTACACCATATGAACAAAAATTGATGTGTTTGATTGAAGGATGAATACGGTACGTGCAATGAACAGTGTGGGATTCGAGCCCAAACCTCAAAGGTGAGTGCTTGAACAGCTTTTTGCTGCTCCAGCCTCTGTCTGAGAGAATATAAAATATTAAGGTACAGTATGTTTGCAGTTCAGTGGAAGGTATAATTGATTTAGGGTTTATAAGCTGTTCTAATATTACTACTACTGCTCTCAAAAACAAGGGCTATGTCCTCACACAGCAGCTAACGGTTAGCAGGATCCGGATCCTGCTAACCGTTAGCTGCCGTGCATCCATACGAGAAGATCCCGATCCAGATACCAAGAATATGATGATCAAATCACTCGCCAATAAGAAACAGGAAATTGTAAACGCGTACGTGTGATTGGTTGTTGGTTGACGACAGAAACGCGCTCAACTTGCTAACAGATAGCGGTATCTGGATACCGCTAACGGTTAGCGCTAACTGATCCGTCGTTCTTACACAGGTGTTAACGATTAGCTCTAACGGTTAACTTCCAATCCGGATACTAGGTCTCTCATGAGAACCAGGCTACAGCATCATTAAATGCAAATTATAATAAAGAAAATTTGTTTCCTCGCAGACAACAAATGCATACATTTTTTTAATTTTTGGGTATAGCAACTAGCCAATGAGATTTTATCAGAATTTTTAGTTTCAAATACCTTGTGCTGTAGAATTATTAATATCCTTAATTCAAAATACAATTTGGGTAGTGTTAATCAAATTTTAACTAGTGCACATAATTTTATTTCCAGGAATTAGTAACTGTGCACTGAAATAAATTTTCTCAAATATATCAATTTAAAGCACTAAAACAAAAATTCTCTTTCCAATTCACTATTTCTTAATTATATCTCCACTGTCCCTTATTCCTTTCTCAATCACGTGCACCTCTCTCCCCTGTCCTATATTCTTTTTACACCCCAATTCTCTACTCCTTTCCCTCCCATGTCCCTTTTTTTCCATTTAAAGCCCTCCTCCCTTTCTAATTTGTCCTACTACTTACCCCTTCCAATTGCCTTTTACCCTAATCCCTTCTCCCCTCCCAAATATTTCTTGATCCATTGCTAACTTAATATATATATTTTTTTCCTTTTTAACCAACATGCAACTCAACTTGTGACTTCTCTCCCCACCCTCCACAAATGCATAAATGTAGTAATCTACAATCATTTTATTTAAGTGGTTAACCCTTTAAGGTCTGAAAACTTTATCTTTTACAGGGATAGGAATTATAACTATAATTTAATACTGTAATTTACTAACTTATTATTAATTAATTTATTAACTTATTAACTGAAATAATTCAGACATTAGTCTTATTAAATTTCTCAAATTGCATAATAACTTGTAATAAATTAATTGAATAATACATTAAAGTCTGACTTATAGTGTACAATTGTGTTCTGTTGAACTACATGGTGTAAAATTGACCTGTTGACTTGGTGAATCGGTTAGGCCTTTGATTAGGCAATGTGTTGATAAGTCCACCAACTACAGTCCTGGTAGGTCTGGCTGTGTCTGTAACTTGGCAACATGCTGGTAGATTTTTAGAGCTGGGCCTAACTTCAAAGCCAGGCCTGTAAGAACATCACTGCGTTTCAACAACAAAAGCGATTTGCCATCAATCTCCTGGAGAAGTAATAACGGGGATGTGGAGTGTAAAAATTTAACATCAGAAATATGAAACTAGATAGGTGCACCAATAGAGTTATATTATGAACAATGTATCAACAAAGCAAAGGACTTGTACCAAATATACTAGAAACACAAGATAAAAAACTGTATTACCGAATTAAATGATGGGTATACTGTACAAACGTAAATTGTCATTATTGGAGAGAGAATGGTGCTGCCGTACGTTGGGATCTGCGTAAAAGCTATGATGTATATCCACTTCGGTTTAGCTATGTGGGAGATCTATCTTGTGTTTCTAGTATCTTTGCTTGTACCGACTTCACCAATAGAGTTAAATCAAGTGACTGGTAATGTATGACAAGAAGCTGTGCCAAGGAAGCTACATCTAGGATGTGTGAACCTAAGGATGGCAAGAGTGTGCTGAGGTTAAACCAAGGGAGTTAATGTCAAAGACATTGTACTTGCGGATCTAGAAACCCTGGGAGATATTAATTCCTCCCTGTCCAATCTTGTTTGTTGACTGCCTTCCTCCCCTCCCCCCACCTTGTCATCCTTATGCTATATTATTATTTTTATGCCATATTATTTTGTTTTTATTGTTCTTGTTATTTATACTGGTTTTTTAAAATATTAATTATAAAAATTATAATGGTGAAAATGATTAAAAGTGTGGCAATTATTATTACCTTCATTATCTATTTTTGTATTTCTATAAGGAGCAAGCCATTGTAGAGGAGTCTGTCACCTGCCAGCTCGCTTACTGTCACTTACTGAGAAGTTTATTAAGTTTTTAAAATAAGTTTTTAGAAGTTTTTAAAATAAATAAAATTGAATTATACTAAAGTAGCTAAAACAATGAAGTTGTACCAAGGGAGCTAAACCAAGAGGATTTTACAAAGAAAAGCTACAAACCAAGACAACTTACCAAGGATGCTAAACTACTGTACCTGAGCTACACAAGATGAGTCAGTCAGTCAGTCATGACTTTGAAGTCGTAACTGAAGAGTTAAGCGCAATGGTTTTTGGTCTATGCCACATACCTGTTCCTGAAAAGCAAGTGCTTGGTCACTAAAGCCATTCTCATGGAAGTAATTGACAACTTGGTTGATATCCCATTCAGAGGGACGGGCATCACCTTCTGGAAGCACTGTAGATATGCCTTTATTAATATTACTGTCTGTGGAAGAACAACTTGCATCAATTTCTTTCATTGGCAAACTGCAAGAAAAAAAAAACGATTATTAACAAATGAGACAAAATAACATAATAGCAAGAGGTCTGACTGCCTTGATTTTGCATGAATGAAATTAAAACAAAGTACTAGCACAAGATATAATGAGTTACAGTTGAATTATAACTAGTATATAACAATGATTTGCAATGCAAAAACTATTAATTTAAAGATTGGCTGTAATGTTAAAAAGATACATTTCCCCTCGTTTCAAAGAAAAGTGTCCCCTGAATAGGGGTGTCCCAAAGGAGGGGTTCTACTATATATATTTTATATTACTCATTAGAATGTTCTGAATAATGTGAATACAAGTTGGAAAATTTAATCATCTGTCAACGTTTAACAAACAGCACACTAATAGTAACTAATAAGTGTTGCAGTGGCAGTCTCAAACCAACATCAAAATTATTAACTGTAGATATGTGTATTGTTTATATATATAGTACTTAAATGCACATAATAGCCATTGTTGTACCTATCATCAACTTGCATAGAAATCTGTGAATCTTCAGTGATCATAGAGTCTGGAGAGGCTGCAACAGAATCGATATCTGTAAAATGTAGGGGGAAAAAACCAAGGTATTTACTTATTATTGGAGAAATGAAAATATGTAATATATTACTAGAAAATTATAATCAATGATATTATTAGGAACATTATCTGTCTAGTTGAATCAATTAGTTGCTTATCTTAGCAACGGTTTCAGCAACTGCTTTCATCGCTTTCTTTGGGCTAATGAACCCTTGGTTAAATTAGGTCATTCACAATTCGGTGAATGAGTGGGCCAACACAAGTTTTGTCCCAGTGCATCAAAGAGTTCATTGGCCTGAAGAAAGTGACTGAAGCAGTTACTAATTGGTTCAACAAAACAGATAATTTCCCTACTACACTTACAGAACTGGATGAAATTCTTCGAGAATGATATCTCATTTACCATTGTAAAAATTTATTACTGTACATCATATATCCCATAATCTATGCCAGTTTTTAAGGTCATGGGCATACAGACATTCTAGTCTAGGACATACTACAATGCTAGTCAATATTATTAATTAATTAGCAGGGATGTAGTTATAGTGGGTGGAGCCACCCAGCCTTGAAGTTTTCCACCCAGTCTAAAGCTAATTTCATAGCCCTCCACCACCTTTATTAACCTCCTTGCCCATCCTTAAAATCCACTCTTATTAATCAGAGTTTACCAATGTTACCTCCCACCATTAAAATAACAAACCCCTCTTCCCCACCAATCCTTAATCCTGAATTAGGACAATTGGACTGAGCACCTGCTTGTGAATTGCGAAGTATTGTACACCACAAGACAATTCCCTATTTTCGAAAAAGTATACTGCTTTCTTTAACGTGCTTTGTTCTCTTACTTTGTATGCTCTGCAAAAAGGATTACTGGAGTCACTTATTGGTGAGAAAGTTTTGCCGTGGAAGATCGTGGAAATAGAAAATGATTATGCAAGCGACACTGCTCCGTCGTGTAGTTGTATTGCATTTGGTGTGTATTGGTTTTTGTCGAGCAAGTTTTTTAGAAACAGATGATTTAATGTAAGCGACATGTCTCTTTGTAACATAGTTGCATTGCGTTCGATGTAGATTGGCTTTCAAAAGATATTTACTAAAAGGCGGGCCTGTATTTTACAGAGAGTAGCTTGATATCATAGAATTAGAAATAAAAAGATCTCCACGGCTCAGCACACACACAATGTTATTATTATAATGAAATACCTGTAGACTGGAGATCATCATCCATTTTGTCACTGCTACTCGATTCATGATCTAGTATAAGGTCATCATCTTGAATACACACCTCGCAAACCCATTTACCTGTAATTAAATCGAATTACTGTATTGCATTGAAGTTAAACAGTTTGGCAATTCTGCTTCCTGCACCGTAAATTTCAAACGGGCACTTTATTATGAGTTTAAAACAACTAGGCCTCGTTCAACCATGCTGGAATTTGTATGGGGTATGCAGGTCACTAGGACCTTAGTGGAGTAACGTCCCTACCCCTTGATGCATAGTTTAATTAGGTTGGGTTATACATATTAGTTTAATTAGGTTGGGGTGTGAGGGTCGCTAGAACCTTAGCGAAATAACAAATACTGTACAGGTCATTTTTTGTATTGTACTTTTACCCCCACCTCTTGTGAAGGGTACAGCTATAGCGTGCATCTGTGTGTGTGTGTGTGTGTGGGTGTGTGTGTGTCTGTGTGTGGTGTGTGTTTCCTTCCGGACACAAAACTGAAAAACTACTGTATCGAATTACTTCAAATTTTCGCACACTGACCAAGTTAATAATAATAATAATAAATAATAGTTCATTCTTATATAGCGCAAGTAAGCAAGCTCTCAATGCTCTGTACATAAAAATACAGAATAAGGATGTCATGTTAATTTAATGAAAAACTTGATGGAAAAAAAGGTCTTTAGCTTGGTTTTAAAAGAGTTTAAAGTAACACACTGTTTGATGGAGATTGGTACGGAGTTCCACAAATTTGGAGCTGTGACAGCAAAAGCTCTTCCGCCATAGGTAGATGTTCTAGTCTTTGGAACAACGAGCTGACATTGGGCACCTGACCTAAGAGCTCTTGTGGGCTGGTAAATCTGCACGAGCTCAGATAGGTAACCAGGTGCCAGATTGTGCTGTGCCTTGTATGCCAGGACCAACACAACACCTTGTATTGCATCCGTTGCTGCACTGGTAACCAATGAAAGTCTGCAAGCACTCCGGAGATGTGATCAAATTTACATGTCCTTGATGTTAAGTGGGCAGCAATATTTTGGAGGCATTGCAGGATCATCACCCGGTTCTTTGGAAGACTAATGAAGAGAGCGATATAATAGTCAAGCCTTGACTATACATGTTACATGTATCTTGGTCCTCCGCAAATTTAGTGCTGATCGGAAGTAAGATGCAGATTCTAGAATGTTATTTATATATTTTCTGGCTGCAACAGTCGACATAGCAGATCGTTCGGCCTTGTTCGACTAAGCCCAGTGGACTCGAGTGGATAGACCTCAGGCCAGAGTAGACGGCGAGTCAAATTCTGGCTGGCAGTCTGAAAGTTGTCTGGCTGGCGTGCAAACTCACCCAATTGATGGGCTGACCACATGAGGCCTACAATGAAGCGGTCCGGGCCTGCAGGCTATTAAATGCCATTATTTTTCTAGGATATAGCACAACAGGGCAAGGATATGTAATTTTAGATTATCTTATTTTTTATTTATTTTGGCAGATTACAGCTTAAAAATTGGATTGAATTATTTCACACAGGATAAAAGGTCACGTAGTCATCTATCCTCTTGTTTTATGGTTTGGATTTCTTTGGTGTGAAATACACTAACAATAACCAATGGAATTCCAAAGACATATTTTCAGTGGAGTCTTTCTTGAGGTGAATTGGGCAGTACGATGGAAGACAATATGCTGCTATTTTCCAAAGAGTTTACTGCATTCTTTAACATGCACATCGCCTATTGCACACAAGACCAACGCCTAATGCGAAAGACTTTGTGCTATTCTATTGCAACATGCATTTTATTTATTTAAACACTCTGGCTGAAAAACACAGAGAGAGAAGTGGATGGAACTGAACCAGGGACCAAGGTTATAATCTCCACGGTTCACAGCTACTCCCTATTAAATTATAAATGGTCTTTCAGTCATCCATCCCATAAATTACCAATAACTACATCCATCCTTCCTTACCAAGTGGCTTCTTGAGAACTGGTGGATTATGACATACCATGTGATACCCCTTATCGCAAGCATCACAAAACAGCAATGTGTCCTACAAACAAACAAATGCATAAATTAGATGTCAACACAGATGCAAATAAAGCAAACAATTTCCAAACTATACTAGGATTTGTGTTATAATAAGTTTTGAATTACATTTTATTGGTAGGCATAAAATAGTGTTTATAGACATTCAAACCCTGACCCAATTATAAGCATTAGAAACTTTTATTAATATGCAAGATAACCATAAATAGAACAGTTAGTAGCCAGATGGTATCAAAAACACACTGACGTGGACAAGGGTAAGTGATACTTATAACCACGACTTTTATGATTTAGTTTTAACAGAGGCTCCCTCTCTCACTGTTTACCCCTCTAAGGCCCATTTGCTCAAGCTATTGCAGCATCAGTCACATCAGTGGTCGATCCAGAAATTTTCCAGTGGGGGTGGGGGCAGAACCAAAGGGCAGACTAGAGCCTCAGTCAGGGCTCCAGAATAAAAATCCCTGGTAGGGTTCATGTGGAGAGTTTTTATGGCTTAGTATGGCACAAAATTATGCCTTTAGACCAAAATATTAGGGACTTGCAATCAACGTTCTGCAGGTTTGTATATCTACAAACCTGCAGAACATATGTAAGTAAACCTGGTCAAATAAGGAATAGTGGGCAGTCCAATGGAAACACTGTAGAAAACATGGCTTACCGCATTTCCTGCATCATCGCACACGCTACATGTCTTGCAATCTATGCATTGCCATGGGAATCTCCGGGAACGTTCAGCCAACTCTGCAGAATAATTCATGCATGACGGATGTGCTGAAAATAAAAAAAGGTGCACAGTCAGGGTATAAAAGAACTGAAAAAATATGGCAACACTGAAATAATTGATTATAATGTTTACAGTACATTTTAATCTAAACAAATATCTACCTACCAGGAGGTTAGGCTTACCAACCCTCATTAACCACAATTAATTTATTTATCTTCTCCATATCGCGAAGATTGTCAGTGCGCGTACTAACAAATCATTCTAATACACGCAGCTAATACACACGCACAGTGATCAATGAGCTACCAGCAATATTATAAAGCAATTATAGTCAAGTAATTTCATACACTATAGGAAACAAAGCCTTAAAATCCATTATTTCCTTCAAAAATGTTTTCAGGAAATAATGCTCCTTCAGCTTCCATTTCCTACAGTGTACTCAAAACCTGACAGCTTTAGTAGTCGGGACACAGGTTACAATACCAGTTGGAATATGGAACTCTTGTTTTGTATCATGTAAGTTCCAGGTACATCCTACTGTAAGTACTGTAATTAGGCTTTAGATATGGCAAGGCTGAAACAAATTGTTTATTTAATTGTCTAAAATAATTCACAGGTTACTTTATTATGCCATCACCAAGGTCTACCGTATCCTTTAATGACCAGCTAGACCCTGTTACAAGTACCAAGTGCATTATGCGACACGATGTTGATTGGAATCTATGTCATAAATGCGTTGTTAATCCAGTCCACTGCCAATTTTACTATCGCCCTCTCACTATAAAACACCAAGCTAGGCTGTTCGCCAAATTTTTTGTGCTAACAAATTAAGTCTGGATTTGGATCATTTTATTGATGGAGAATCATTTCTGCCAGTCAGTTTTTTAGTTACTGTCAGTATCACAAGGCTTGTCCATTTATTGTCTACCCCTTTCTATATGCCTACTGTATATGCCTGGAGCTATTAAAAACAATATTACATCTTTATGATACATGAAAACCCCTCTATATTCTCTAACAAATATATCAATAAATCAGTATAGTAAAATATAATAAACGAGATTAAGAATACCAAATAAAAATTATGATTTCATTTCATTTCTAAAGGCACGAGCGCCAAGGATATGCCAATAAGTGAACTTAATCACTGTAATACGTGGCATATCCATTTAACACCAGGGGACTTAATGGACCAGTACACCGGGTAACCCCCTACTCTTCTCGAAGGATGTACTGGGTTCTTTAAAGTGCACACGAACCAAATGCGTACACTGGGCCTACGGTTTAAAGTCCTTATCCGAGAAGACTTGTTCCACCATCGGAACCACTAGCGAGTGAGCCGTTCGAACCAGCGCCGATATTAGAGCTGAAGGTTACGGTGCCCCTGACCTAACCGCTCGGCCAATCGACTCGCCAGATCATGATCACATAAACAAAAGCATTATACCTTTAGCACTACAGTCTTTACATATCAATAAGTCTTCTTTCAGTCCATATCTGTTACACTTGGCAGTAAGGGTGCAGTAGTCACATCTTGGATCTCCCATTCTACCGATCGGTTCATGATGAAAGTCTGGTCCGTGAGTTTTCTTGATGCGCTTTAATTGAAACAGAGTTTAACGGAAAAATAATTTTATTTTTGCTTTTTCTAATAACACAGAGGGCACATGTTTAACTATTTCTCAATGGAAAAAGCCACAATTTTAAAATTATTTTTTTTAGGGTCGTCAATTTTTGTCATTTTTTTCAAAGTTCAAAGTACACTGGGGCAAAGCTCAACAGTGCATTTCTTTTCAACAGACATAAACACTATAATCACACAGGTGGATCCAGAGGAAAACAGTCAAGGAACTCATCGCCCCACACCCTTTAGATCGCCTGCGTATCATTACACTTTTTATTTTTTTTAAAACTATTTTTTTAATGATTTTGAAATGACAGCTCATTTACAGTTAAACTTGCCTAAAGTCGACTTTGCCTAACTCGAATAATTTCTAAGTCGATCTTTTTTTACGTGCCAAATTGTTGAGTTTTCATTAATTAACAATCTGTAAGTTATCTAAGTCGAACAATTTTTCAATGCCATTTTGGATTCTACTTACTGAGGCGAGTTCAACTGTAATTTGTTCTTTTTGTGAGAGGAAGTGGATAACATGACAGAAAATCTTTGTACCCTTTTGAAAATGATATTCTGTCCCCACTGGGATTCAAAACCAAGAACTTTTGATTCATTAACTATTCATGCACTGTACCAACTGGACCATGAGCTCTTGGATTTTCCCATTATGGCATGTTCTTTTATTGAGGTATTGCGTGGCAATGAAAAATGATAAATCATTTCTAGAAAAACATATTGCCCCTCCGTATTTGAACGGAAAATCTTCTGATTACCGTTCCAATATTCTCTACCAATTAATCACAAGGGCACTGCATACAAGGGCACTGCATACTGTATACTAAAAATTTGAATTCTTATATCTTGTTTTAATATTTTCTTAGAACTATCAAATGATACTGATGAAACTTTTCTATTTATTAGAGGGCAGTATAGGTGATCGCTTTAACAACTTTCATGTCCTACTCTTCATGGAGTGGGACTTTAAATTCAGTCCATCGTTGTTACACAGACACACGCCCTTCAACCCCGATTTCTGACTTTTAAATCCGTTATGGTCACTTGAGTGAAAACTTACCTGTTCAAACAAAAACAAAATACAACACTGATGCTAGTTCTCATATGAATTTGTAAGGGCCAAAAACAGCACCTAACAGAACAGATTAATTCTTGCTTTCTAGCGCGTATCATTCAATGTTTCCTGTGCGAGTTTCAGCGTGTGATGTAGGCTACGTAGTGAGGCAAACGCTTGCATTCATTTCACTGCAACATGTGAATTTTGAGGGAAGCAAAATGATAACTACAAACCTAATTATATTTACATGATGAGAATCTACTAATCATAAGCTTTCCATTCATATATTTCATTAAGTAAAAAGAGCAATAGAAAGGGTCGAACTTATCAAACAAACACCAGGCACATTCCAGTCTTCGCATCAGTCGCCAGAGAAAAATTATTACGCTGAAACAAGCGCCTGTATACAATACAGTCAATGGTGTTTGGAAGGCTTGATTCTATTGGTTTCCAAAAGTGACAGAGCTAAATATTGACTAATCACAACCACTTTTACAACAAGTATGGTATAAAGAATAAAGATCAACTTACAGAGACAAAGAAACCGATTGGTCAAATACTTTGCGAGTTATTCTGATTAGAATTTGGTAACATGAGCCGCGAAAGGTAAAAAATCTGCTTTCTACGTTGGAAATCCAATGTAGTTGCCTACTTTTAATCGAAAAGTGACAGGATAAAACATAAATCTATCTCGTTCTATTTCATCTCATTAGAAAAATGAAAGATAGATCTTTTATTTTAAAAAAGGAGGAAATTGATCTGATGAGCAGTTCCAAAGTTATGGTAGAAAAAGCTGTAAAAAAGGGTGTTTTCAGGTTTTTTTTTAAGGAGTTCTATCAATTTATAACAGCACGCTACTAAAGAGCGCGTACAAATTTATATGATTAAACTTTATTCAAAATCATAAATTTATGAAGCTTTTTAGCAGTATGTATATTGGTCTATGATTTTAATTACAGGCAGGTTTAGAGCAAGTAACTTTTTCTATTTGTTATTCCAAGGTCTATGTTAATATACTTATTTTCCTAATTAACTATTGAATATTATAACTTTAATGAAGAATTCCAATTAATGCTTGCATTTTGAAAGCACATCACGAGTGTTGACATTTTTATTAATGTGAATTTAAGTGTGATATAAAAAGAAAAAAAAAACAGTAAACAAATAAAAAGAAAAAAAAATAATAATAATGTACATTTAAACTTTTCATGTCATCAGCTATGAGCATGCATAGAGCTACCTGAAGTCAAACTGACCCAAGATTAAGAACTTAGTTCATCTATGACCGAAACCGCACGATCAACGTATCACAGTAGGAACAGAAGATGATCATGTTCGATCCGTTTATCGGAACTTCGAAAAATATAAAAAAATTAGTATCGAAAATACTTACTTTACGTTTGCTTGGTTTTAGTGGTCTAAATGAACCAGCTTCGGTTATGGTTCTCGCTACTAATCTATACTTGTTATCATGTAAAGCAACACGTCCTATATCGACCTCTCTCATGAGAGCGTCTGTCAGCCGACGCTTGGTCATTTTACTTTGCGGGTTTTTCGTGACTAGGAACTTTTCAATGTCGCATAACGATGCGCCGTCTGTCGCTCCCTCTTTTTCTTCACCAAGAGCCTTTATAGCAGCAATTAAAGTTCTTGTAACATCTGTAGAATTCAATATATTGCCACTTACGTGACTTTTTCGCCATTTTGCGGCATTGCGATAGCTTGTACTGCCTTTATATTCAACCTTCACAACAATTTCTGCTTCAACAAGGTGTTCCAGCGCACTCTCCACTTCTTCTAACGTAACGCCATTTTTTCGCTGAAGCATGTGGTATATTCGCTCAATCCCTGGTCGCGCCTTGCGGCGGCGAAGAGAGTCGATTGTTTCGAGGATTGCATCCTGATACTTAATTTCAGACATCGATATCAATTTAAGTCACAAATTCAACAATATACTAAAATTATTACAAATAAAATATTTATAGAACTTCGTCGCGTCACAACTATCTTCACACGTAGACCGCTCTATTCATTCACATGTACAACTGCTAGGAGAGGATATAAAACCTACGCATGCGCGTTGGCCTTTTGTGTGTTCACAATGGTTTCAGTTTTAGCTCTTACTCGTACAAGATTATAGTATAGTCGATAACTTTGTATAATAATTTTTCCTACTTCCTAGCCCTGTTAAAAACACGCCTTATAGGTAGTTTTCACAATAATATTCAATAATTTGGATAGGCTATTTTTGTCTAAATCCGGTGCGGATTAAACGGCCGGTTAAAACGACAAACCTTCGATTAATCATGGTGTTTAGAGAAAAGGCAGATTGCAAGCAAAGCGCAGAACAATGAACAATGTATTGTTACTTCCTTTACCACCACAACACGCTCCCTCCACTGAGGTGTAACCGTGCTATGAGATGTCGGGAAGGCCCGCGGGAGGCTCCATGGTGAGCGCGAAACCTACATGACAATAAGGTCAAGAGAATTTAATTATGCGGCATATTATGATATTATTAATTATCTGGTGAGATGCTAATAATAGGTCGACAACCATGGGCGGGCATTTCGCGCTCGTCACTGGGGGAGGAGGTTCGCGCCGTTGATGCTCTTATCCTGCAAATTAAAAACTGATGAAAATAAGAAACCAAAAACTATAAAACCATCTTCGTTTTTTGGTTGAAGTAGTGTACATTAGTATAGGCCTACTCTCCATGATTTAACATAGCAAAGTAGATACTTCAAAAGCCAGGCACTTAATTCACATCTACGTACTTGTGAGCCAACATTGTGTGTAGAATAAGGCCTAGGGGAATGATCGGTTAGTTAGTAACGAACCGTAATATTTGACCCAATTTTAATAACGCGATCATCGTGTGTTTGAGTAAAAAAAATGGCGATAGCATACATTTCATGATAATTACATAGGCATGGGACAGGATGAAAACAGAACTCGCTATAGCGAATAGGGAGAACAGAATCACCTAAAAACAACCGATCGATTCTTTGGCAATCCACATGGCACTCACACACACACACAAACATACACACCACCTCGGACACGCGTAACAACCACGTGATAATCGATACCCGAGCGCGTTTTATTTCTCGGTGGGTATATAGTGGAACACCGCTTTGGAACACAATCGATTCGTTGGTTAATTTGACCTTTGTATGTATGCCTTTAGTCATACAGTAGGACTATCTTGGCTTTATCAAGACAGATTTATTACAGCGTGTGATAGGCCTGTTATGGGGTTAGGATATATTATCACGGGAAACCGAGTTGCTTTATTTTAGCGCGTACACAAATGCGCCATCTTCCCCTAACAAATTATTGATTGGCTCCGCTATAGTTTTCGATATGCGTCAACGGAGTGCCAATTTTCATGGTCACTGATCTTTGTGAGAAGGATGCAAAAGCATATGAACGGCTTAATAGTTAGGCTATTCATGCTGCTTGAACTATAAGGCCTAGGACCAATAATAATATAAGCCTCAGCGATATCCTTCAACATCAGCTTGACCACGACGTTCATTGGCATATTAGGCCTAGGCCTACTCAATTGCACCTAGAGGCCTATAACAAAACATAAATTCAGGTATTATAGGCATCATAAAATAGTTTAATATTATTACCCACCCTCAATAGATTGTGCAACATGTCACTGAGTAGACTGGAATTAGGCCGTTGGGAGCTTGTGTACCCCCCCCCCCCCCAATTCCTGCATGTTTGATATTAGGTCTGTTATGAGGAGGCTGGAGAAAGAATTTCACGTTGAACTCCAAGCTGATGAGATTTTTCAAAAATTGATAATTGGCAAATATTCTGGATTTACACTCGGGACCAAAGGACCAGGGCCGCTTTCAGCTTCATTCAATTATTGAAAGTAATGCCGGTAGTAGCAGCCTATGTATTCAGATTTGTATCTACTGCACATTGCCAGGTCGCATGATTCGGTTGCGGCCTCCGTACTGTAGTAAAATTGCTTAATAAACAGATGGTAGTAAAACAGGTTATTTAGGTATGTGCAGTTTAAACTACGAGGACTAATTGATCGATCCATGGAGATAAGTTGATAGCGAAATACAATGCACTTTTTAAAAAAAAGATATCATCAGGGATGGGAGGGTTGCTGTAAAATATGCCTACGCTGTTGAGTCTATGGAAGGGTGCCAGCAGATAAACTAATAAATGGCGAACGCATAGACCTACGATCTGTTTCTTATATGAAATCACAGATGGGCTTGCATGTGGATAAAACCTTCCGCGCTTTATATTTATTGAGATTGTATTTTCTAACTCTGATTACTTCAGGCTAATTGTTTGTGTACTATATCATCGATGTTACTAAAATGCTCGAATATTTATTTGGTCGAATCTTAATGAAAAGAAATAAAAATATTCAGTTATTACAAAATGTGATCAGTGATTCTCAGAATGTGTGTAAAAGAATGTATAAAGATGGGCTAAAACATTCTCAAATTAATGATGTAACAGTATTAAAATAATATTAATCTTGGTATTTGAACCCCTAAATTAGGAATGTCTCGCCAGCTTAGTGCTTCTTTGGATTGCCAGTGGTTATTTTCAAAATTGCATTGGCAATAAACAGAAAAATCAAATAATACTATCATCGTCGATATTCTGCGTATTGAAATATGTTCTTAAGGAAGGATTAAGGGAAAACGGGAATCTAGGCTAGCCCCTCCCCCAGCCCAACAAAAAAGAGAGAAAGAGAAAAAAAGAAACGAGGGATGCACGGTACTCTTTCTATGGTCAAGCATTACTGAACAAAAATCTCAAACACCACATCCCCCACCCCCAAATGTTTCTCTGGATCTTCCCCTCCTTAAATGAGTTAGTTGTTCATTCTTCCATTGAATGCGATCTTGTGCCTTCTTCATAATGTGCCATCACAGCATATACCCCTTCAACATTGGTACAACGATTATAATAGACCTTTCTGGAGTGTCAATCAAACTTAACAACTGACTAATCAAAACAGCGCTAGGAATACGCGCGCGTCTCACAAACCCACGTGCTGTGCCACAAACGCACGTGTTCGCGTATGTTTTAACACTGTCGTTTTGTGGGACCTTAGCAACAATATCCAAGGGGCGGGGCTTAGCGGAAAGGTCCATTATGGTGCTTGAAGGCATTTCCATCAGTTTATCAAAAACCAAGCAATAAAATGGTACTCGGTAAATAAACATGTGGCGCTGGGACAGGGTGGCGCCAGAAGGAGGGGGGGGGGGCTACAGCCCCAGCCCCCCTCCATTATTAATAATAATAATAGGCCTAACAATAGTTAAATGGGACTAATTAAAAATAATTTGCGTTCTGTTATGACAAATGCTCGTTTGGATAGCATCATGATGCTTTGAATACCGGTACATCGTTATTAATAATAATAATAGGCCTAATTTTATTATTAATAATAATAGACCCATTAATAATAATAATAATAATAATAATAATAATAATAATAATAGGCCTAATAATAGTTAAATGAGACTAATTAAAAATAATTTGCGTTCTGTTATGACAAATGCTCGTTTGGTTAGCATCATGATGCTTTGAATACATCGTGATAGGGGAAGCAACCTCGACCTTGATAGAACGTTGACAAATGCAAAATTTCCAAAATGTAGAATTTCACTTTCAAGAATGATGAGGATTTGAAAATAAATTAGATTGTTACATTGCATACTCTTTGTTTCTTGTTTTATTCAAAATGTTTTGGTTTTGTAAGCTAATTTCGACATTAGAAAACATAGCATACATGAAGTTATATTATAGTAGCTCGATGTCTATCAAATAAGTAATAAAAATTCGCCATAATTCGTCAAATATCCGTTGCTTCCAGGGGGCGGAGCCCCCTGGACCCCACCGGGGGCCCTAAGCGACCTCTGGCCCCCAGCCACATCGGCCCATTATGGTTCCTGGTGAGAATAGCAGGTACGAAGCCATTTGGGAATTGACGTAGGTATGGGCAGTGCACCGCACTGGGGCCCGGGGCTATTATGAGCCCATTCAATAGGTCTAGATCTATAAATGTAACTTTTAAAAAAGGACCCTTCAATAATATAGGTTTTAGAGGCCATAATCAATGATTATATTCATTACAAGTGCCTATTACTGTACGGTATTTCCCAAACACTGCAAGTAGGATGCCTTTTTAATTTTTTTACAAAAAAAAAAAAAAAGCCATTAACAGCTTCGTATCTGTTGAATACAGTACATTTAAGGCTATCTTTAATTCTGGTATTTACGTACGTATGCTTCGTGCCACGGTATGATGCACTAAAATACTTTTTTAAATCATATTTCTAAAGCAATAAAATATTGGCACGAACGTTTTTGTTTAGTATTTTGAAGTTGGTTCAACCAAGGGAACAGTTGAATAATTTCACTGTTCCCTGGTTCAACTATAATGTGTACGTTTTTCAATTACGTCAGATCGTCATAATTTCAAGAATACATTTCAGATTTATCTCACTACAAGTAGATTGTTCTATTGTTGTCAATATTATACTTTATCAGAGATTCATGAAATGCTTAATAGGCCCTAAACCACAGGTGGGCCTGTGATTTTTGTTTTTGCGGCCCTCGAAAATGAATTACACACTATGTGTGCGGTCGGCCAACAATCTTTGGCTAGCATATTACTAGGCCTACTTAAATTAAAATACTGTACTCAGTCGAGATTTTGCCCGACGGGTAGGGGGGTGGGGAAGCTCTCCATGATAGGTGCCCTGACCCTATGCCCCGTCCCCCCACTGGCACCACCCCGGATTCAGTAGCGTATATAGGAGTCTTGAAAGGTGCTTTGGCTAATTCAGATCGCATTGGCCTTGAACGAAATATTCGCGGTTTCTACGGAGTTTGGGCCAGTTAGTGGCTCCTCTCTGAAAAACGTTCCTTCTTAGAATTCCATTTTCCGCTTTCTGAAAAGTCTGTTGTAATTTAACGTTAATGATTTGTTATATTTGGTAGGGTTTTGCCGCGCGCGTTAGACTTGGTCTGAAGGAGGCCTACAGTCTCATTTTGATAATCTAATAATGTATGTGATCACCAGCGTCTATCAATCAGACAGGGCCAGGAATACGCGCATGTCCCACAGCCACACCTACTTGGTGGATATCGTAAATTACTATTCAAGTGCTATTTTATGGTACCTGTAAGCCTCAAATTCCTAAAATTACCTCACCTGAGCACCAAACATGGTGGATATGTAGTTTTTGGAATTGTAATTATTTAAGTGCCATTTTCACCATTAGCTAATGCAGGGGTGATGAAGTGTCCAAGCTCCCCAACAAGGGGATCCACCCCTCCAGTGGCGGCGCCAGCCAGGGTGGGGGGCCCACCGGACAGGACAAGCCCCCCCCCCCGCCCCCGCCGGACAGAGCTCGTCGGGCAGTCAGAACATAAAACATATAAAAATAGGACCACACCAAGCCAACACATGTCTGTCACAGTCTGAGAGTGAGATTTTCGGCCATCTAGAGATTGATATTCTTTTAAAAAAATCTCATTTAGGAGGGGGACCCCTTTCAACCCCTTTACCCAGTTCGAGCCTACGAGCTCAAATCCCCCTGTCGGACAACTTAGCCCCCAGAAAATATATCCTAGAGCCCCCACTGCACCCCCTCCCCCACCCGTAGGGGAAAATTAAAGTTGTCGGGGAATTTGTTTTAGTAAAAGATAATAAAATTTTTTGTTAATTATGGGATACTTTATTTTAAAAATGATGTCGGGAGTAATAACCTCTTGTAGTACTGCAACCCATACGATCGCTAAATAGTATACAACACCTCACACATACGGTAGCACTGCTCGCACTAAACAGTTATTAATCCCTAAAATTTGACAGTTTGGTAAGGCATGCTTGAATTGTACTTTCGGCGCTCGAGATTTGATTTTTCCCGGACGACCTTGCTGAAAAAATACCCATTCCGTCAGAAACTGTAACAATAACAGCAATCAATAAAACAGTAGCAGTAGGTGATTGAATGGTACAGTTTTACATTGAGCAACGCCCATTTTACACCATAATACAGTGTTATATTATTTTTTATACCAATCTATATTACATTATATTTTTATATTGCAATTTTATTCAACCTTTATTCGAGTTCATTATGCAATTAATTAACACTGTAATACAATATTTTTTATTTAATTTTTAATTACACAACTAATTTTTGTATATTGTAATGTATTTAAATTGTATATACCGTACTTAGTACCGGTACTTCTTAATTTGTATGTATTTTATAACTTGTAATGATTTTGTATTTTCATATTGATGTATTTTTTATATTGGTAATTTTTATGAGCAATGACTTTGCTCAATGTAATTTACTTTTGGACAAATAAATTTGAATTGAATTGAATTCAAATTTAGGTTCATCAAATATATAATTCAAAGGTTGAAAATATTTTCTGCTAAAAGGTCGATTATATTTTCGTTTCAAATAGGCCTACTAAAAGTTGTCTCATTTTCCAGTAACAGATTCAAGCCTCCCCCCCCCACCCCACCGTCCACATAAAAAAATAGGCCTAGAGAAATTGTATTCAAATTCAATTTGAGATGCCATTTCTAGCCATCGGGTGCCATAATCATAACATTTCTTACCTCAGTCACAACCACGGTGGGGATGAGGTGGAAGGCCCCTCTATCTCAGAGAATCTCTCTTTGGGCACCTCTCTATTACGAATTCATGAATCCACCACTGTTTTCTCAAAAGGACGATCATTTGGACCCTATTGGAAATAAATTGGGGTTTTTAAAATTTTATGGCTTACCCTGGTTTCATGTTTTAATGTTTTTTTGTTTTTTTTTGTGTGTAATTTGATTTTTTTTAAATACTTTTTAAATGTTGAAACTGAATATAAAACAAGCATTAGTAAACAAAAAATGCTGTAATACTAATGTCTTCATTTTTAAAAACTTAAGAGCATTACATTCTTGGGATCTTATAAAGGTCGACGTGCAATTTACTATGACATTTATATTGATAGGGAGCTTTCGATTTGTGCAACGACGCAACGCTAGAACGGAATCACTCATGCGTGACCGTCCTACCTGGCGTCCTACGTTCTCTGCATACGTAGATTTGGCCAAATTGCGTTCCAGAATCTACTTGACGAGGTGACCTTTACTTTATCGCACGCGCAGATAACTTTTAGTGACGTCATTACGTTATACATCCTACCGTCGTCGTGCAATCAAAAGCTCCCTAATATTACATGGGTTGCAACTTGTCTCAGAAATCATAAATTGGGCCCCAGAGAAAAAAGTTTGGGAAGCGGTGATCTAGATCATCTGCCCTTTATGAATTATTCTGATGACATTAAAGGTCTGAACACATTTGGGGCAACAACAACTGATTACATAGAAACAACACATATTTATTTATAGATGATTTATTTTGCAATTACAGAACACTTTCTTTTAAAATTCTAAAAATATACTCTACTATATATGATTCGTATATCATATTATGTGATAGGATTCAAAATTTTTCTCATTGCTTTCTGACATTCGGTATTAAGCCTAATACTACTACTGTGTATATATAATAATTGCAACGTCTCATAAGTCTGAGATTGAACTGTGTTTAATATTGCATAAAAATAATAGAAATTAATGCTCATACACATCCAAAAACAAGCTGGAACTATGCTTCAACTAAGTCTCTATGATGCTTTTGCCAGGCACTCACTGTGTCCTAAGACAACGGCCCCAACTCTGCAATCTGTGAGCGCCGACGATGCGACACGGTCTGCTGATTGTCGGTGGCTATCTGAACAGATCGTCATTAAAAACGATCCCTAGCGTGCATGTCCTCCTGTTGCGTTCATTATAGAATCGCGTCGCCTGGCAACTGTCGGGCACGGTGAGTGCCTGGCTTTAGGGAGTGAGTTGTTTTTAGTTCTGATATAAGAATCATGGAGTCTCACAGGATTTGAACCCATGATCCTGGGCTGGAAGGCAAGCATCTTTAAGCCCAATCTTAATAATACAGTACTGTACAATGTTTATTACTTTATCTTTTGTAATCTTTATATTTTCTAATAATATGTATTACAAACACTCTATTATGAATTAAATAAAAAATAAAAATAGCGAAGCGTAACTATTTTATATTTATTTATAAAAATCAAAAATTTTCATGTAAAAATGTTCACAAAATTTAACAGTAACTTCTATGATGAGCCTCCTCAAATCTTCAATACCACATTTCATTACTTGAAAATCAATGACCATCTTAGCCCCTTTCTTCTCCATCAGAAAAAATGTCCAAGTTTTTATGCAATCTTATTTTCCATTCCACATTCACCAATTTTCCCAACTCCACTTTTCCCAAAAAAAACCCCCCTCTCACTCTCATTTAATTGTTTAGCCTTTATTCGATTTCTGCCCTTACAACTTGTTTTTAAGGATCCTTGAGATAGTAGGAATTAGTGCCTTATGGATCTTGGACAATCCTAACCATAATGCATATAGAGTACTACAATGTTACGTCACAATACCACATGGTACTTCTCCGTTGCTATCAGCAACACAAAATGCGTAAAACCGGACGCCATTTTCTCCACTGACAAACCACTGATCCCAATTTCTAACGTAATTATTAAAATGTTGTGTCTTAGTTTTTCTTTGTAAATTTTAATTCATGATTAAATGTGTTTGATAACTAATATAATGCGAGCTTTTGTGTTATTAGTATTTTGACGGTAAATTATTAGGTTTTAAAATGCCTATTCCAGAAAGCCTATTCTAAACCATTAAGATTATCAAGTCATTCAGGCGTAATGAACAGTAACTAACATCTGGTGGACAACAAAGGGCGCCACCTAGTGTTGCGACGACGTCTGTTGTACTCTATAGTTTCTGCACTTTTAGATTTAATTATTGTCAATATTCTTGTTTGCAATGATAAATGTGGTTATTATTAGCTTATGCTGGCTTGATTAGCAAATGATATATAAACGTAATTGAAATTGAATACTACAAGAAGCATTCTTAACAAAGTTTGCCGAGGTACTCGGTTTTTGGATAAAGCTTTTGAAGCGAAGGCCACTGGACTATGACATGATCGGCGAAGCGATACATTATGCTGCCAGACACGGAAAGATGCTTCACTCGACATATACTCTCTACGTACACTTGCTGAACTTTCTTTAATCCTAGAACCTGCAAATGTGTAATAAAAATACATTTAATAATGCACTATTGTTTATTATGGTTTTTTTCCTAGCAGTGCAGCCGTCCCGAATCAAAACAACGTACAGTAACTCACATTATTGTCGATTTTGAAATAATTATCATTTGGGAGTATATTAAACAAATCTAAAATACCTGTGAAAATTTCAGGTGTCAACAATGAGTCGTTTTAGAGACAGCAACCCTTATCTTTAATCACAAACCTTAAAATCTAGTGATTTTATGTAGTAAAACAATGTAACTGCAAGATTAAAAAATGTATCTACGATGAAGATACATTGTTTTGCATCGAAACAGCATTGGAAAATTGTTTTGAGCTGATTTAAGTTGGCACAGCAAAATCAAGAGGTTGATGGTGTTTTCATATCAATAATCCTATGACAACGTCAGATAAAACTGAGCCTCACATATTTCCAAAGTAAAACAAAGTATCTGTCAATATCAACTAACAGTTGTAATTAGAATTTTACAAATAATCAATGTGTCTATAGTTATATAGTCCTGCAAAATTTCAGAAGCGTACAACAATTTATTGCCAAGTTGCAAACATGCAAACTTTAACTCTATTTTTCTTGAAAAGTAGTTACATAGTTTTGGCACGAAACAGCCGAGTGGAGCTACCTATTATTGTATTAAGACCAAACAAAAATTATTATTCTTTGGTACATACATAGTGACTTCGAAGGGGCAGATCCAGAGGCGTCCAAAAGGGGTGTTTGAGCGACAACACTACCCTCAAGATTTAGGGGGGATGGGCTGGCCCCCTTTTGGAAAAAGGGATCGCCAAACCCCTCACCCTTTTTAGATATCTCTGGATCCACCCCTGGTTAAACACCACCCATGTTAAAATGTGTCAAATCAAAACTACATTCTCACCCTCATAATGAATCCTGCGAAGCATAATGGTATACATGTTCCAGGGCCATTGCTGAGAATCTAAAAAAAACATAAAAAAATTAGGGCGATGTTGCAATGTGAAAAATTCAGAATGGGAATTGATAAATGCTAAAATGATGGTTATATGTAACACCTTCTATAGTATTTTAACATCACAAAACTTAAATTTATCAAAAAGTTACTTGTGCTTGGTTGAATATTTGAATAAAAAATTTTCAGATAATATGTACAGTAAAAAGAATCTCACCAGGTCAGGTGCTACAGAAAACACCATTGGGAATGCGTAGAAAGTTGAATATAAAGTTGAAAAAATACTGGTAAAATATGACTGACGGACTTCCCGACTTCTTGGTATCCTATGTATTTTGTACTGAAAAGAAATAAATAGTATAATGCAGGTGTAATATTTTTCTATACATTTTCACATATATTTCCTATTTGACCACTGTTTTTATTTATCTATTTGTTTAAATTGTGTTTACGGTGCTACGCAGCCAACTTAATTTGAATATCTGTCTCTTATACACATCTAGATGTGTATAAGAGACAGGTACCTTCAACACGATCAATGCATATCCAAATTACCCCGATTCTACATTCCAATGATTAGCCCCATCACGCTTGTCACACAGCAATAGTACAATAGCATCAAAAAGTGGAAACTGATTAAAATGTGCACGATCTACTGTACCCCTAACAAACCTAACAAACAAATTGTCAGTACATTTTAAAACTGTGCAACTATTTCCTTGCAGTTTTCAAATTGTACAAAAGAAATCCTTGCAGTTTTCAAATTGTGCAACACTTCCTGCACAGTTTGCAAACTCTGCAAGAGATTGCGCAATTTGCAAATAATTGTGCAAACGTCTCAAACTGACCATAAACTAACTGTGCATGACAGCCATATAGGCCCTGGCCTATCCTATATTTTTTTAGTTAGGCCTTCATCATCTCAACTCAGCAGACTCTGGATTTGTATCTACTGTACTGTACTATACTGTAATATAGTTGAGCTTGAAAATCTCACACCTTTAATCTAATACTACTAGTACGATGTAGGAAGAAACCGCCACTCAGGCCCGGCCCTACGTAGGCCTAGGCCTAGCTTACGAACGTCCTGTCCAGCAGGGTTTGAACCGCACCAATCCCTATAAAATACAAAGAAAGTATCGGCCTAGCTAGCTAATCAAGTGCATGGCATGTACCTGAGCCTGCAATAACTAATATTTTGATTTTTCCATTTCGTGTAATACAGTCAGATGATTTTCCAAGTGATGATAAAACAATAAGCAAACGTGCAAGTAATACTAAAGAAACGCCTAACAAGATAAAGAATATGTACGAAAAAATACAGTAATAATACTGCGCCTCCATTCTATCTTGTTTGTTTGTTCGTACGAAAGCACCTAGCTACAGAGGGCACTGTCAAAGAGTATACTTTGGCACTGTTCTTTGTACAGATAATTAAAGATATGGAGACGTAGCATATTATTACGTGCCATAATTAATTTAGAATTGATGTAAATTTCATTAGGCCTAAATTTAGAAAAGTAAATTGCAAGAAAAAAAAATCTCAGAGTGCCGTTTTTACAGGCACGTAGGAAGCAGTTTGTTATTGGTGAGGCCAGCGAGATCTTGGCATTACCTAAGAGGGTCTCATTGGGCATCTTATCGGTCACTCTAGGATTCGATCCAGATCCTGAGATTTCAGCCCCCACCCCTAGGAAAAGTCAAATTTACTAGAGCGGTACAACGATATTGTGAGATGCACTCTTTCCTCATACCACGGACAATAAAATAATGGTTAAACAGAAAAAAAATCTAAGGAACGTTAATTGGGCTAGTTATTTCTTGATCTTTACTAAATATAAAATAAAACTATAAAAAAAGTTTTAAAGTAAGATCTCTTCCAATTTAATTTAATATAATCTTCTCCTTTCCCCTTTTGCCAACACTGGTTGGTTCGATAGTAATTTAGTTCAAGTTTCTGGAATCCTCTCTCTCACTGTTGATCCCTCCCCCCCCCCCGCCCCCCCCCCTCCCCCCCCCCCGGCCCATCCTCTTTCTTGTGCTTATCTTTTTGCTTTGTACCGTTAAGAAGAGTGAAATGAAATAAAATTTAAATCTAATACTCTTTAAATCATCGCCAAAAAGTTCAAATATAATCAGATTTTAGAAAATAATGAAGGTAATACGGTACATTGCATTTCATTATGTAGAACACTTAACAAAATAAGATCTGATGAAAATATATTTGATGAAAATAAACTAACATTACTAAATAGGGATGCACTATTGAAAACTATGGACAAATTAAAAACTATAGGCTAAAGTTTAATGGTTCTTTGTTAATATTCCTATCAATTGCACAATTCAAATATTATTTTTAACTTAATTCCCGATCAACATAAAAAAAATTGATTGATTGGTTACATTTAATGGTTGCATTTAATAAGGAATAGGACAACAAAATCAATCAAGATTAATGAAAAGATTAATAATTTAATGGTTCTTTGTTAATATTCCTATCAATTTCACAATTCATTATATTTTTTAATTATTTCCTAATCAACATTGAAAAAAAGAAATTTGATTGATTGGTTACGTCAATGAAAAAGAACCTGATTATTATTAATATGGCTATACCGTGTTGAAACGCGCTTGTGACACAACATGAAAGAATGTTTCCAAACACTTATTTAGGCTATGTCAAGTCGCAACACATCTAAAAATACCCTGAATGGATTGGCAATCCAATGGCACTATACAATACTTCAATACATATCATGAGCATGCGCGAGTAAGTGAAGCACATGCCTACGTTCGCTAGGAGAATTTTGTCATAAAAAACTGCAGTTTACTCACCTCCTAAGGTCCAACGTTTATAAAAATACTTCCAATCATCTTATACAAAATGACAAGTAAAACAAGAGGTAAGCCTAGTTCAAAAACAACAGAAAATGAAATAGGAAACTTATCTAAGCCTGCAGTTGAACCTGAAGAGGAACCTGAATTACCTGAAGTGCGGGAAAATCAAACGTTAGCTGATCAACTTGGTAGACTGTCTGAGCAACTACACGGTAAACTTGATAAAGTAATCAAAAGTCATATAACAAAAGACTCACCAAACTGGAAAAATCATTTAAAGATCTGGAACAGTCAGTTGAATTTGCATATGATACTGCAAAAGAAGCAAACGATGAAGTAAAACAACTTGGAAAAGAAACTAAACAAATGGAGGACATTGAAATCAAAATGGCGGTCTTACAAAATAAAATGGCGGACATGGAGAAACATCTAGTTAGTCAGGAACGTTACAGTAGAAGCTTTAACTTAAGGTTTGGTGGAATTAAAGAAGAATTGTTGGAAAAGCCTAAAGAAATATTAAATGCTTTCATACTTAACGATCTTGATCTTCCTTATATCACTATCGAAAATTATCACCGCACCGGAAAACAGCGATCGGACAAGCCAAGACACATTATCGCAAAGTTTTATTACAGGCAAGGCCACAGAGAAATCAAGTATTAGCTGAAGGAAAAAAAGTACTTAGGAAAACTGCATAACATGTTTATAACTGAAGACCTACCTGAGGCAGACTTAAAAATAAAGCGTGGGCTATCTAATATCATGGCGAAGGCCTATGCTGAAAAAAGAAAACCAACTTTTCGTAATGGTCGGCTGTTTATCGATGGCAAACCCTACAAGCCTGAAAATGAATGCATTAAAGGTATTTGTTAAAATAAGCAATGTGCCTTATATATTTAAAAAATCATTTTGGTAGGCCTATATGCCTATAACATCATGAGTCATTAGTGTATACTTTATCATAATGCACCTTGTTGACTCTTACCGTACTTTATATTTACCCTTCAAACTGTAAATATGATTAATGAATTATCATTATCATATTGATTTTCGACATTATTTTTGTAAATATTACCAAAAAATAGTCACTCACTGTCAAATGATGATCTGCTTTTGTTTTTGATTTTGCACCTGGGTTTGATCAGTGTTCACCACCTGACCATTAAAGTCTGCACCTGGTCTTGGACAATGTTTACCATCTGACCATTGAAATAAATCACTGATATACCGTACTGTTGATACATTCTTTACGGCAAACGCCTTAATAAATCAACGATAAATATTACACTTTTCCGTATTCATTTTAAGAAAATTTGTCAAATTTATCATGTTACAACATATCATTTAATATTATTAGATTCACTAACGTATGTTTTTATTATAAAAATGCAAACTTCAAACTTATGACGTCGTATGATTGAGACAGGTCTAAGTTTACTTAACAGAATGTGGCGAGGCGGTGTACTGGCTTTCTCCTCCGGCAGACGAAGCAAGTTGATTTATACTATACATGCTGTACATAACTGAAAGTAAGAAAAAAAAATGTTGGTTTTAGCTGTTGGTCTTGATTAGATACACATTAGATCAAGAGAAAGTACCGATTTTGTACTTGCTGCCGTGTAGGAAAATCTCTGGACACGCCTAAACGACATATTGACATTGTTACATTCGACGGAAACGGTTTGACTTAATTTCTTCTTAATCTAGCCTAAATGTAATATAATGAGTCATGATAATACAATTGTCCTGTAAACTATGAATACTATGTTGATTTCTACAGTATTTTTACCGTATGTCAGGTAGGGCAAAATTACACCTATACTTGATTCTCCTGACGCAAATCAAGTTATTGTCTATTTCATCACGACAATAACAATTACTATCAATATAGTCGAACAAACTTCAAAATATCTATCAGAAACATCAAGTGCCAATATTTCAATTTCTTTTGAAATTTACTTTAAAAACCAGTCCAATATTAAATTATTGTCTTGTACCGTATTCACCTTTAACCGAAAGGTCAACAGATTTAAACGTTTTTGTCCCCCTTACACACTGAAGCTGAATACTGAATAGGCTTTAACAATGCAAATTGCAGACGAAGTCTCCAATTTGGCGGATACTGTAAATCATCAATTTATCTGAGAAAACCACAAGCAAAACATTGAAATACAGTCAAACAATACTGTAACAAAAGGCACAACAAAATCAATAAGCACACAATGTTATACGAGTGCATTGAGCTTTAAATAAATTTGGTAATATGCCTACTGAATATTGAAATGTTTCAGTTGATGATTTTTTTTTAAATTTTTAATAGCATAACTATTGGAATGCCCTACATATCTCATTGAAAGGAATTGCCATTAAATACGGTACATTTTCCAAAAATAAACTGAAATAACCATCTACTTGATAAAATAGAATAGATTAACAACAGTGGTGGTGGTGATGGCGGCGGCGGTGGTGGTTAATTGGTATAAGGAAATATCTTGTGTTCTCTCCATAATTGTCCTTGGAAAACGTTTTATTTCGCACTAAATTTAACATGATTTGCAATATAGGTGTGGGTCTACAATATACCATAACGTATTTTGGTCAGGGGCAGCTAAAGCAAAGTTTTACTGTAGCTCATTGAGAACCTGAAAAACGACTGTGCTAGACGAAAATCTACTGTGTTTGTTAACTGACTGTGCCTAAAACCCTAATGTGCTTGAAAATCGACTATGTCTTGAAATTTGCCTTTTTGGTGTTTCATATAAAAACCGCAGAAATTAACGTTGAATATTGCTCTTTTGGCGTTCCATATAAAACCACAAACGTATGCCGCAATGGAGTGGCTATCGGCACTGCCGCAGTGCCGATTTGGCACTGCCGCAGTGCCAAAAAAAGCTGCTGTTTTCTATCGGCACTGCCGCAGTGCCAAAAAGCTGCCGTTTTCTATCGCCACTGCCGCAGTGCCAAAAAGTTGCTGTTTTGTATCGGCACTGCCACAGTGCGAAAAGCTGCTGTTAATTAATCGAATCGATGTTTTTATCGATAGATGACACTGGTATAATTCATAATTTTATTTCACTCAAAACGTAATGAGACTGGTTAGGCAAAAATGCTTCCGTCCCCCTCTGGCGCCACCACTGGTTGACACCAACCGTATGAACGGGATAGAAAACACGCGCTTCAACCCCAAAGCTAATACCGACAAATGACCGGATTGGCGAAGGTTCTCATCCAAGGAACATTTTACCACAATAACATCTGTAGCTTGACTACGGGAATGTAGGTAAAAATGGCCCTGGAAAAAAATGGCCCAGGAAAAAATGGCCCCGGAAAAAATGGCCCAGTAAAAATGGCCCCAATTGACAAGTAGGTAAAAATGGCCCCAATGAAAAAATTCAGTAATAGAAATAATATTTTTTTTAAATCTTCAAATATTAAATCTAGCTGTAAAAAGCAAGAATTGAATCAATAACAAATACAGTTACACAACAGATGCAAATAATGTACTGAAAGATTATTGGAGACCAATGGCTACTGAATAACATTTTTTGATACTAGAAATAAGTTTTAAAAACATTATTCCACTAACTAAGTAGAGGAATGACATACATACAGTACCGTACTTCAACTACCAAAATATGCAACTCATAGATAACCACAAAATTCACTTTTGTTACTATATGTTTCAAATGAAATAACGTTACATGTTATAAACAGTGCAAATACACAGTAGTTAAAGCATGTGGATCAATTATGTGTTTCAATCACAAGTTCATGTATGGGAAAATGGATTAAATGCATTAAATGTTCTGCTTAGAGTTACTTCAAAGAAGAATTTGTTAATCAAAATATTGTTTTTTAAGTAAACTGAATAATTATAGGCCTACATTATTTAAGCAACTTATTTAATTGCATACTTGGTTTTTATAATGTAAACTGAGATACTATATATACATATGTAAATATGGCAATTATGCTAAGAATTAAAATGGCGTGTAATTGTGAGGGTAGGGTAATTATGGTAGGATTAAATGGTATTTCTAAATCCCACAAATCTCCCAAAACCCACTGTAGAAAACCAAGCAATTCAATTGATTGACTCGCTTGGTATATCCATAATAAAATTAAATATTCATAAGAACCTATTTTTTTGGTTAAAACGTTGATTTTTTTTGTGAATACTTACAAATACACCACAAACCTCCAAACACATTGCGAACCCATCCAAACTCTTTAATTATGATTGTAGAACTCTCTATTTCTAAAACAAAAAATAATTTGATGTTTACCAATACCCGGATTGAATTTCTGGAAAATTGTGATTCCGCTTCCGTGAAATTGGCCACAAATAAATTATTTTAGTATTAATAAATGCATGATTTATGTTGATTTATTGATTATGTTGCTATTTTTTAACATTTAATTGGAAAAAAATAATAAAAAAGTGTTATTCTTGGCTTTTTTTTAATCTTTGAATATTTTATCATTGAATTCCTGCAAAAAGTAAAATGTAAATGGCAATTTATTTGATGTTAGATTCCTTTTTAAAAACTAAATTATTTCAGTTAAAAAAAATGCATATAATGATTTTTTTTAAATGGTTTTAGTACAGAATTTTATTATTGGGGCCATTTTTACCTACCTGTCATTACAATTCTCACGCTAAACATGGTAGAGTAGCGGTGCTTTTCTTCCTTTGATCGAAAGTCTGTTGGTAATTAAACCATGAATCATTTATGTTTTTATCAAAGGAATGTTTGATAACATAAAAATTCGTTAGAGCTTGAAACACAATCACATCTCACATCAAATAATTACTTTGTCAACGATTATTATTCGGATGGATGGTTATTTTGTTTGAAAATCCAAAACTCGCAGTGGTCGATCGTTTCACAGAATAACAAACACGTCGCCTTATTCTTCGGACACAGAAATCCAGTATAATGTAGTTTGTATGCTTTATAGTGAAGTTACATACACACTGTCAGTGAAAATGGCGCTGGTAATTCCACAATATACGGTAAGATTATAAGTTGAATATCGAATTTTTATCCGTCAATGTTTAAGCTTAGACTTGTTTATTGAATAAGTATACGATGACTATTCAATAGCGCACTACGCTTAACCTCGTGGCTCCACATGGAAATTTTCTTCCGTCGTAGGCCTATGGATCTATTTCAAGATCAAGATCTAAGACATTTTCTTCGGTTTTATTGTGTAAGATATTCTCGGTGGTTTGCAAAATCGCCATCCACACGCTAAAATATAGCATATAGATTTTCAGATTTCAGATTCTTTATTTATTTCGACAGAATACAAACATGGAGGAGGCCATAATAAGATCATGAAAACAATTTTAAAATAAAAATACCTTACTCGCGCGAATAAGCGCCCGTGCGCTTAATATATTTTTTGCACTTTTTGAGGGGCGCTTATTCAAACGGGGCGTTTATTCGAACGGGGCACTTATGAAAATAGATTGGAAATTAAATGGGCGCTTATGGAAATAGATGAAAATCGAGGGGTTCTTATGAGAACTTATTAAATTCAAGAGGCACATTTTGTACACAAGGAAACCGAAATTTACGAATGGTTTTGCGGCAGAGAGCATGGCTTGTCATGACAAGAATGTTGTGAGTACAGTATTACATAACAGCAGATGAAATTAGCAGTGGTCGTTCTATACGGTAGCTTGTTGACCATCGGCCGATTGAGATTAGCAGGACGGCATGATCATTGCAGGTTTCTTACGGCATGATCATTGCAGGTTTCTTGAAAACTCAGATGAGAATGTGTTAAGGTGCAAATTGTCGGAAAAGGAGTAGGACTAGGCTATAGACAAATGTAAGAAGATGAGAGTTGGAAATGTACTGTCTGTCCAGAGGGAGCTCTCATTTGTCCGGATAAATATCCTCATTTTGATATGGACTAAAGGGGAATGTGATTCCTCCTCTACACTTCAAACCATACCAACATCCACAGTCCCAGGATTGATTGGATTATTGAAGGGGGCGCTTATTCAAATGGGGCGCTTAAGGAAATTTTCACGTTATGAGGGGCGCTTATTCAAACGGGGCGCTTATTCGCGCGAGTACGGTACATGTGCAATCAAGGTGCACGACTGGACTACATGCTAGACATAATGCCGGTGTCACGAAAATTCAGGTACCATCGAGAAATTAGGTACCAGACCTAAATTCTCGTTTTAAGCGAAAATTTAGGGTTTATCGATAAATTACCCAGCGGGCACACAACGTTAATTCAACGTTGAATCAACGTTGAAATGTATTAAAAAATTAAAAAAATAATTTAAAAAATAAAAATAAAATAAAAAAATAAAAAAATAAAAAAAATAAAAATAAAATATAGTTTGCATTTCAATGTAGAATCAACGTTGAAAATGTGTTACGTTTTTCAACCGGAATCCTATTGTTTATTCAACATTTTTTCTACGTTAAATAAACGTTGAAAATATGTTGAGATTTTAATACAGTAACTTACAGTAACTACGTAAGTTCAACTTTTCAACGTC